TAAATCTAAAATAAATTTATAAAATTAAAATATTTAACACACGACCTATATACAAGCCGACAATCATCCACTAAAAATTTTGAGATTAAATAGCATTAAAAAAAAGGCTAAATTGGAATTTAAATAATTAAAGCAATTAACAACTAGCATGAAATTAAATAAACTCAAAATAAAAGGGTAAATTAATTTCAAAAAAAAAATCAAAAAAATTAAACTTAAACTAAAAATAGCTTTATGCAACAATCTTAAAAATTTTGGATTAAATTAAGCAAATGAAGTTTAGTTAAACAAATCCTAAGGGTTTAAAAGCTTGTTGGGCCTTTGGGTCCATTAAGCTCTCAATCCATTAGGCTTCTACTTCCTCCGGACTAACCCACACTCAAACCTCTAGCTCATCTCTTTTCTCGCCCTAAGTCTAGATTCAAATATTTGGCTTGTTTCTCCTATACCCGACTAAGCCTAAACCGACCAAAATCCTAACTAGGCATATTCTTTCTTTCTCTCACCCAACTTCACCAAAGCAATCCTAACATATCAAAGCACGACGTTGATGCTTAGCTTGAAAATTATTTTGCATCACGGTTTTATTGATATGTGAGTATTATCAATTTTGAATTCTTTTTTTTACTAGGATGCAATAATGAAATGCTATACTAACATTACGGAAATGATTTTAACTTTACAGGCAAGTAATGCACAACTTTACTCAATCACCGACCATTATATTAAAAATCTTGCATAAAAGCCCATATAAATAGCAAATTCGTATCCAAGATACTTTGTGAATGGGTACAAGTTTCACATCGAAGATCATGGTTCAAATAGAAAAATAATGTATAGTGAAGTGTGTGTAAAATGAGTTAATTATAATGTTGAGAAAAATGACTTTTATAGTAAGTTGATCGATATACCGAAATTTGAGTATCCTACATTACCAATCAAGAGAACCGTATTGTTTAAATATGAGTTTATGATACTTCACCTAGTATTGGTACAAGAGTTCATGATTAGTACGGACTAATAGAGGTACATAGTCATAAAACATTGAATATATACATTTCCTTTATTATAGCAACACAAATGCATTAGGTGTATTATACCACATATCTTACCTCAAAATGCATTAGATGCGATTGGTTAGTCGTATGTAAGGTAAAACCAAGAGTAGTGGTGAATGTGCCTAAACCGTTTATTACGGTCCCAAAAAATAAAAAGCCATTTTAGGAAAATGATATGAAAATCTAACATAATGTCATCCAAGTTCATGAAGATGAGAGTTAGTCGGTGATTGATCCAACTCGGATCGTTAATAGGCTTAGAAGAGGATGAAATTAATGAAGAGAATGATATTGAATTTGAAACAAATGTAGAGAAAGACATAGATGAAGACTCGTTACAATGATAATTGGGATAATGATTCACAATAAGGTTTGATTGTCCCCCATAATTTAATTTAAATTGTTAAGGTACAATATATATGTGTGTTTTAATTTAATTATAAAAGTATTTATTGATCATAAAATATATTTATTTTAAATTGTTTATGGTAATAGAGATGCTTTGTAGTTGTTGTGTTTGATTAACTAATTAATGTGATAGGTTATGCCTCATGGTAGGAGACGTTCTCGCATATAGTGGCCTAAATCGGATGATGAGGGTCGTGGTTTAGACAATCGATGATGGTAATGTCGTGGACATGGGGGTAGTCCCGCCTTTGTTCCAAGTCACATGTCCCTTCTCTTTGACCTTGGCGTATTCCCTCCCATAGCCTTTGTGTCATACCCACCATTGTTTGACATGTCTTATCCCGAGCCCCATCGGCTTGGACCACATGTCGACACTTCGAACCTTCATCGTCATTAGAGCCCATGCCCTAATAGGATGATCGTTAGGTACCTACATATGGCTCATCACCAAACGTCACTTTTGGTATGTCTTTTGCACCTATCGGTTCGTGTATGATCCTTGCATTTTGATTACTCTCATTAATGAAAAGGAGTACATATTATGATTTTTTAAATATTTATTATCATGTATTATTATATTAATGCATTCGATTAACTCGTTAATTATCTTTTTTAACGAGCTTGTATTCATTCAATATATGCTCTCATTAGATCTATAAGATATTTCATGAGCATGTCAATCTATCTAGAATCACGTGAAAGTCAATTACCGAGCAAACTAAAGAGTTCTTTTGGAAAAAGTTTAAGGTAATATGTAGATTAATTTGTTATATGATAGTACATTTTAATTAATTTGCTTAATATCCATTTACATTTACTAATGAACATTTTTAATATTCTTGCGAGAGGTCCTTTATGTGGGATCGAGAGTTCGATTGAAACATCGGGAAAGCATGGCAAAGTCTAACACGGAAGCGATATTCCGACTTCTTTTATCATACAAAGACACACCTCTAAACCAATGTATATCTCACATAAGATATGGGATGCATGGCGAAGGAATGGACAAAACTTGAGTCTTGAGTCCGATCTTAGTAGGCAAAACAGAACCGTATGAGCGAGACGGGTGACATCGTGGCTAGCCCATCTAAGCATACGGGGGTTCAATCATACACATGGAGCATGCAATATATATATATAATTTGCATTAATTGCAATATCAATATACACGTAAGTATATTTGTTTCAAGCATAAGGAGTTGGGTCATGAACTCAATGCTCACGAGGTGTTCTTGAAAACTCATAGGAAAAAGGTTGATAATAAGTACATATTCATCGATCAACGAAGCTAAAAATCTTAGAATAAGTAATTTATAAGCTTATTACATATGTATCCACTTTTATATAACTTATTGAGATTACTATTTAATTATAATATTTGTGTATTTATATGGGACACCGTTGATAAGATATTTGAGAAGGAGGTTGATAGCCGAGAGACGAGAGGGTATTTAAATGCTCGACATCAATATAAACGAGATATTTAAAAGGATCGTTGGAAGAGGAGACGAGTAAGAGGAAGATAATGTATAGACTCGGGTCACAAGCCTTTCACTATCACTCAAATGTCATTTCATCCTCTAGTTCAACAACTTTGTGGTTATATGTTGATATTGAGGTGCATCGAAAGGAAGTGGAGGCCAACACTACCGTAAAAGAAAAAAAGATCCGTAAAGTGGAGGTTAGCGTTACATCGATCTTAGAAAATCAAAGATAGTTAAAGAAGTATACTCGGGAGCAGACTTGCAATACTACAACAGATGTTACTAAATATGCAAAAAGGTACTTCACCCACCAATCCTCCGACCGACCATAATGAGTCGATGAAAATGCCGATATGTAACATGTAACTCCTTCATTACAATATCTTTTTTTATGTGTTGTTATGTTTTTATTTGCTTAAATATTAATACACTATAATATAATTTGGTATCCGAATATATATTGGATTGGGTTTTATATATTATAATGGATTCATATTTTTTATATTTCTATTTCATATCATTATTGTAGTAGTTAAATTGGATTGGATTATATATATTTTTATTAGCAACATGTGAATGAAATAATTGAATGAAAATATCTTTAAAAAAAAAAACAAAAAGATTTAGTGACGGTTTAAATTTGTAGCTAAATCAAAGCAAATTTTTTCCATAATTAGCAACGGTTTTTGTAAACTATTGCCAAACGAAGCTATATTTAATAACAGTTTAACGACGATTTTTTTAAAACCATCACTAAATTGATGACCTTTTCTCAATTTTTAATGATGGTTTTTTTTTTTTTAGCGATGGATAAATCTTCTCTAAATTCGCAATGGAATTCTAAAAAACATCGCTAATTAATTAGCGAGAAGGTTTTTAACGATAATTTTTAACCATCGCTAAATGATTACCTTTTTGTAGTAGAATCATTTTTCGGAATTGGTAAAGTTTGCATCTAGCTAATAGATACCAAATCAAAATTTAGGAACAGTTAATTGACCACGTGTAGCGTGCAAGTTCCCCACTAATACCTTAACATTTTTTCTGTTTTTTGAAAAAAAATATGATTACGACAAAAGTGACGATCACAACATGCTTTGAGATGTTTTTTGAGTCGTTATCTTCTCTAAACAAATCAATTCTTTTTTTTTTAAGTATTAGATGGTTATTTTATTTTATTTTGTTAACTTTTTTTAATCTGAAAATCTCAGATATCAACAGTGACACCCACTATATTATGGAACCAAATTCACAACTACAAAGAAAGAAAAAATTGCAAGGTTGAGCCATGTTGGGGAAAATTAAAGAATTTCTTGAAGGTATTGCCGTACATTGTCAATTCTACGTGAGAAATAATATTAAGAAGGAAAAAAACATGATATTAACATAGCAAAAAAACTGCCTCGAAGAAAAAAATAAAATGAAAGAAATCAGCAGAGAAGTACAAGAAAGAAAACATTATTTTGACTACAAATTTCGGCCTCCTAAAATCTTGGTCGTCAGTCCATGTGAAGAAGGAACTCAATATACCTTTCTGATATCATGGCTGCCATGCCACAAAGCTTTATCCAAATCCGTCTTGCATCCCCAGAAAATGAGGTATATTCCTTAAGAGCTTTCGTTTGGTGGAATGGGTAGCAAATCTCAAGCAGTACTGCATTTTGACAAAAGGGCCGCCACATATACAACTCATTTTGCATCAAAAATTTAATTTTACATTGCAGTTTTTGAGTTGACATGTGTGCTATAATAAAAAGTAAAGGAAAAAAAAAAGAAGGAAAACTTGGCTAAGGACTTCCCTTCCTTTTCTTTTGTTCCCTCTTCGTAAGTTGAGACATGTAAATGTAATTATCCACTTCTGAGAAATTCCGAGCACCAGCTTTCATTTTTGGCAGTCATCATGAAGTGACAAGAGCAAAAGCTATCGCCATTTTCATTACCATCATCACAATTCAAGCTTGCAGAGTTGCAGTGTTCGACCATAAAATGAGGCATGGACTCGGATGCTGACAACCTCTCCTACGACTTCTTCTTTGGCCTAAAGCAATGCTCAAACTTGTATTTGTTCTATTCTCCTAATTGCTTCACTCATGTCTAACCGTTGCACTGTACTACTTTCGATGCAAGCCGCCCCAATTCGGAGTAATTGCACCATTTGATCAAGTGAATTTGTATCGTTCGCAATCTCAGGATCAATCAATTCCTGCTCTCTCTGCTCAGAACTTGCTTGTAAGACCCATTGGACCACATCAGTCCCTCCTTTGCCATTGGTAAGATACTGAGAAGGGAATTTCCCTGTAATGACCTCAAGAATGATGATACCCAGACAATAGACATCAGACTTTGGACAAACTTGTTGGTGTTGAATATATTCCGGGGACTTGTAAGCAAACATCGCTTGTGCAGCATGGCTGGGATTGGTTAGCGGGTCCAAGGCATAGTCAGCGATTAATGGCTCATAGTTTTCACTTAAAAAGACATTGCTGGACTTGAGATTTCCATGTGGAAGGTCATAGGTTGCATATTCTGAATGGAGAAAACCTAATGCACTTGCGATTCCCTTGACTATCTTCAGACGCGTAGGCCAACTGAGGTCGGCATGACATGTTCCACGATCACCTGATCAAGAACAATGAACTTCAACTCAGACATCCATTGCACAAAATTTAGAGTAGAGGTCACTTAACAAGATTACGGGAATAAATTTGAAAGCCCTTAAAACTCTCAGAAACACAATCCTAGTAATTTGGGATTGAAGCTAGCTAGAACATATTTGCCATGGTAATCACAAATCATGATTTTTTCAACAAGTTTTTGATGAATGGCATGAGATTGTTAGAGAGGGCGGTTCAAGCAGTGCCTGATCCCCATATATCTTCCAATTTCCTCTATAACCATTTTTGTTCTTGGAGATGTTAATTAGCATCATAAGAGTGACAATCACATAGATAAAAAATATATTGCAGAAAAAAAATTTTTTTTGAGGATCTCATACCATGCAAGACATACAACAAGCTGCCCTTGGGCACATACTCTGATACCAACAGCTTCTCCTCCTTCCTGTAATGGTATGCCAATGGTGTCAAAATATTTTTGTGCTTTATCCTTCCAAACCGCCTCATTTCAACATCAAAACCTTCTCTCCCTAACTTATTCATCTCTCTCATCCTCTTCACCACCACTGACAATCCGTTTGTCATGACAGCCTTATATGAAGACCCCAACCCTCCATTTCCCAACACTTCTGCTGCCGCCTTCATCAAATCAGGCAGCCCAAATGCACCCTTTTCATCGTTGATCATGAGCAACTCACCCATACCGTTCCTGCTTCCGTGAGTGGAACCCTTCCGGGAAGACTCACCGCCTTTCCGAGTACTCCCTTCTGCTGGCTTCTTTCTTGAGCCTACATGCACAGGAATCGTCTCGTCGGGTGTTTCTTTCTCCAACATACTGAAATCATCATCCATATTCCCCTTCCTCCCAGATAAGAAGGCAGCGAAAATTAAAAAAACAATCACTGCTAGAGCTCCAACTCCAATTACCATTTTGGCATGACCGTCTGAATTAGAGGTTTCTTTTTCTTCTTCACTGGCAGGTTGAGGCGAAGATTCTGCAATGTTTTCGGAGCAATCCTTGTCAAGTAGTTTCCCACAGAGTTTGGCATTATCTAGAAATGATAGATTGCTGAATTTGGAAAAGCTGACGGGGATCTCTCCTTCAAGTTTGTTGTGTGAAAGGTCCAGGGAAGTTACCGTGGTGGGTACTTTCAATGGCGGGATTTGTCCAGAGAATTGGTTCCCTTCCAGGTGCAGTTCGATTAGATGTGGTAAATTCATTAATGACACAGGTATCTTCCCTGTGAACTCATTATTGGAAAGCCAAACTTTCTTTAAAGATGACATGGAGGAAAAGTAGTCATTTGATATTTCGCCTGAAAACTTGTTGTGAGACAACAAGAGTGATTTCAATGCAGCAACTTTATTGAAGGCTGGGATTTGACCAGAGAAAGAGTTGTTCCTGAAACTGAGGGTTCGAAGAGCACGGAGTTGCTGCAATGCCTCAATATCAATTGTTCCTGAAAGACCCAAGTTTGAGAGATGGAGACCTGTGATGAGACCACGATAACAAATGATACCAACCCATCTTTTAACACAAGGAGAGGAGCCTGAATCCCAACCGTCCAATGCCTCAGCGTTGGTGAAAGAGCTCTTAAGTTTGAGGAGAGCCTCATTTTCTGTCAAGGAAAATGCAAGTTTGCAGAGGGAGAAGGAGAAGGTGAGAAGGGAAAGCATGAAGGCGGTGCGAATACGAACAGCAGCCATTGCCAAGCCGGAAATGTCAGACAATTCCGGATCGAAACCTGCCACTGTTCGGAGAGATTCCGTGGTTTTCTATATCTTTTTGTTGGCTTAATTTTTTCCTTTTGTTTAGCTTGGGTTTGAGAGGGTGTGTCATGTTGGCTTTGCTGTGTGGCTTTGAGGGAATTGTTGATTAAGCTGGCAACTACTTTTATTGAGATTCTAAGAATAGAATTCCAAATTAAAGAGGTACAGCCGTTTTATAGAAGAAAGATAATTTATGATATGGAGAGAGATCTGGAACTATTGTTGACCCTGTCAAATATTATTTGATGAGCTACCAAATTTGAATATACATATATATATATATATATATATGTATGTATATATCAATGTCCCCTAAAAAGCAGGGATTATTGTCTTCAGTGGATGATTACTTACCCTTTCTAATATCCAAATTTCTTCACCTCACACAACTCAAATGGTGGATGAGATAGCAAATGAATAAAAACATAATAATAAAGTAAAAAAATAATAACAATCCTATAATATAAAGATGTGGTTCAATAATTGTGTCTACTCCACGATTGTATTAGAATTTCTTATTATGATTTTTGATGAGACTCCAGTATGCATAGCTCCTTAAATTGCAAATTCTATTTACATCGGTCTTCACAACTTAGCAAGATGTATGTTAAGAATCATTCTCATTTCACTTATGACCTTTTGAGTTTTGTTTCTTTGAGCATAGATTTTCAGGTTTTGTGATGAGCAAATGATAAGGTGTTAGTCCTCTTTTATTGCTAATGCCTGTAATACCATCCCATATGTTCAATGAGGTTTACCATAAGGAAATTTCAACTACTTCTGCAGTTGAGAAGCCATGTTAGAAAAGTTCATGTCCATGTGCTAGTCCAGTGTAGGATTCATGTACATAAACCTTTTTCTGTTGCTTTTAATTAAGTTCTTATTTCTTTGGATTTTCACAAATTCAATTGCCCAGGCTTCGTAATTTTTATGGTAAGGTCATGCAGTACAGAGTGGGAAGCCTTTCTTAGCAAATTTAATTTAAAAAAACCATGTACCATTAATTTAGCATCATTTGTTTTGCATTTGACCCAATTAAATATCTAGTTGTCATGAGCATTGATCAAGAGCAGATTGTCTAACTAGTATTCGAGATTAAGCTGTCTGTGTAGATCCTTTTTTCTGGGAACTATCTGTTTTCCGTCAATGGAATCCTATTTGATTTATCCAAAAAAAGGATTTGGGTCCAGAGATTACCCAAGCTCATTAACTGGGCTTGGCTTGTCATTTAATCGACAAGGTACAATTTCAATAAAGAAGTAAACTCTGTTTTCCTTGGCTCTCGGTCAAGGAATTCATGCAATCTACACCGATCCTGGCTTTCTGTTCAACTGTATCGGAAACCTTGCGTTTACTGAGATGTGAAAGCCTGCAACCATGAACAATAATTAAGTAAATATGCTTCTTCATGGATGATAACTTTTGGTTAATTAATCAATATGATCAGGGATAGAGGATTACAGAAAATATGTTGCAATGACCAGGATCTGCAATGTGAGCCATCAAATTATCAATAGGGCCTTCTCCAGTATAAATGGCCTGGAAGCAAAAACCGACGAAGGCTAGCATAGCAAGACGCCCGTTCTTAATCTCTTTAGTCCTTATTGCCATTACAGGTTCCGGTGACCCTCGACCCCAATCCCAGGGATCAAACCATAAGCCACCAGGGTAACCAACATCTGGCTTCGGGTTAGTTTTATGTGGTAATTTAGGCTCTATATCAACACACCCTGGCTTAATCATATCAGCCCATCTTCTTCCCTCGACCCAACCCATCAAGATTAACTGCACTACAAACAAGGTTGCAGGATCTGCAAAGTATTGTCGAGCACCAGCATCAAACCAATTGAAATTCTCAATAAGGCCTAGTCTTTCAAGCCATTCTGGAATGAGAATTCCTGCTACAGCTAGCATTGCCCACCTGCCGTGCACTAGCTCAGCTTGTGCGAACCATTTAAGCAACTCCGGATCAGACCCTGAAACGCATGATGCATGATGATGGATCTCAAGAACTGATATAATTACTTTACGGAGTGTGGAACAAGATCAAAAAGCTTTTATAAAAACTTGGAAAAGAAAAAAAAACAAGTTAGAACTTTCAATCTTTAGTTCGGGAAGGTGCTTCAGAATGACTCATTGATATGTTGGTAAAGCCATAGAGGCTTACGGCTTACCTAATCCAAGTGGGTCGAAGCCAAAATCTCCAGGAAGGCTGCATTTAACATAAAGAAAGAACTAATGTTATAATGAATACAGTAATCCAAAAGAAAAGAACAAAAACCATCCAGAATAGTTCATGCTGTGAACTTTAAATTTGTTATTACAATAGCATTCATGCTTCTTATTAAGTTAGTACAATTCAAAACATGATAAACATGCTTCTATAGCTAGTGTTCTGTTGCCATTCTAGAGGTAACTATCTTTTAAGTTCTAGATCCAACTACCATAGCTGAGATCTTTAGCAAATTGGTTTTGAAGACAGACCAGTGTAATAAGAAGTGTTCCATCACGGGATAACAAAAATATATATATATATGGCGCGCGCGCGCGCGTTACCTTCCGTCAAGCCAGTCAGGTGGTGAGCTACCAGGGAACCACAATGGCCTATCCGGTGGGAGTGGCTCACATACACTTGAAACCCCTTTTGTTGCATTTAATCTAACTTTCCCTGGCTGGCATGTTACAATTTTTCCTAGCAAAGATTTTTGAGGTATATCCCTGTTCAGTGAACAATTTGAATTAAGGTTGATATAAAATAATGGCATGGGATGTAAGCATCCAATATTGAAAGTCGTTGTTGAAAGAACAAAAAATGAAAACTGGTTTGCTATGGCAGAACAACATGAAAGAAAACAGAGAAGAAACAATTAATGATCACCTGGTCCTGGTTGGAAGACTTGACAATGAAGAAGTGGCAATGTTCAGAGCCATGAATGACCAATCCAAAGTTGCAGTGCAGCTTGGTGCTCGTTGTCCCTTGATTTAGCAACGCATCCTGGGCTTATCCATCGTAGAAAGACGCATACTACCAAGTATAGAACCAATGGTAACTTGACATATGTACAGGATAAAAAGGCTGAAACTGTGCGCTTTTTAGGCCCTTAAGCTTGTCTTAAAGTCCAAGTCTCTGATACACTGACGCCTGAACCCCATCATGCAAGATTTTGGGCCCGTCTGAGATTGATTGTATTGATCTGAAATAGCTAAGCTTAGCCCACTATATATATATACACACGCATTATTGAACCGGCGATTCCCGCGTACTTTTCATTCACATCTACCATGATGTTGAGAATTTAAACATTAATCAATCGAGATTATTCGATATTCAAAATTAATCTTATCTCTACGTCTGTAATAAAGGAAAATTATCTCACATAAAGAGTGGAAGAGATGTTATGACAATTTTGCTTATTCATACTGGCAGTTTGCTTGTCCAGTAAAAGTACAGCAGCTGGTTCCTTCTTTAAGATCATTTTTTAATTTGCAGTTGGTGTCATCTTCTTCAATAACCAACCAAAATTAGTTTCTCAAGGTAGGTGTAGCCGGTAGCCCATCTATTGATGGTTCTGTATATATAACCAAATTAAAAAATAAAAATTTTCAGTACTCGGATGGAACTGATTGCAACTCTCTACCAGATTAAGTACCTACGCATGGAGTTTGCATCCCGTATGCCTTCCTTCCGCAACAGAGACATTTCAGCTGTATACTATATGTCTCCTTGATGGAGACGCTTTTTAAGCATTACATAAACTAGCAGGGAATGGTGTAGTACTACGAAACTTACGAATAAATAAAATAATATATTTTAGATGTATATGAAAATAATTTTATGAGAATAGAATAATTATTAGAGAGGTGTTAGAATATTCAGTGTATTTAGGATAACTTTTTTATACTTGGTGAATATTTGATTGAATTCTTTGTACGCAAATAGTGTACTTTTATGCAAAATAATCATTTTAAGTACCTAAATAAGTGCATAAAAATTAGATGGTTGATGAATAAATTACTATAACAAGTGTATGAATTTATTGTGAAAAAAAAGTATTTTTCTGAAGCATGTGGAATTAATTATGTACATAGGGACCTGATTGCATAAAACTAGGGATCCAATTTCATAAAATTAAAAGTTTTGGCCCTCAAATAATTTTGAAAATAAATTTTAAGGGGCATACATATTGAAAAAAGCCTTAGGGAAGGACCAAAAATAGTCATTTAAAAATTAGAGAGGCTAAAATCTAAGGATGAAAATAAAATGGTGTGATAGATTGAGAGACTAAATAAATAGTTTGGCCAAGATTTTTCCCCCAAATCTACTACTTCACCCTCCCACATTGAGTGAGTGTAATTATTAATTTAACAAATGGATGGCTAGGATTAAAAGTAAAATCAATGGTAGAGATTAAAACCAAATAAAAAGCCAAGATTAAAGTCCAACAAAAGGAAAAAAATCTACCTTTTTAGCTATAAACTAGATGATTGTACGTGCTATGTCGCTAATCGAACATAATAAATGAAATTATTTGAAAAAAAAATCATTATGATTAAATATTTTGCGCTACGATATAGATCTAATAAATTTATTGAAATCAAAAGCAAATAAATATTCACCTAATTTTATAATTTTTTTAATCAAAAAATTTTATTTAATTAATTATTTTTTGTGCTTTTTAAAAAATTTCCTTCTTGAAAAAAATGATTTATTTTTTTGTTATGCATGAATTCTTAAATAAAAATTTATAATAATCTAAAATGCAAGTTTTAATTTATCGAAATCATATATATATATGATAAAATTTTATTGAGAAAATAAAACAACAATTAATTTGTAAAAAAAATTCATAAAAAATTTAATATTTAAAATAATTTTTTATAATATTGATGAGAAGATGAATTTTTAAACATATGTATATTAGGTTTATATACATATATTTTTAAAATAATAATAATAATAATAATAATTAATTTTTAAAAATTGCATAAAAAACTCTATTTAAAAAGTATGGTACCATTGGGTTGTTGTTTTTAAAATATATTTTTTATTATTTTATTTGGGAAGAAGCGATTTTAAAATATTCATAAAAAAAGTAACTATTAAGCTTTTTTGTGTATATGGACAATCCATTTGTACCTAAAAAAACTTATAAAATTAATTTTGATATTTAATTATATTATAAATAATATAATAGCAATTTTATTATACTTTTAGTATTCAAACATTTGGTCCAATGAATTGCACTTAGCACAAAAAAAAAAAAAAAAAAAACCACACACACACACACACACAAAATCAATACGGATGTATGTAGATTTGAGTTGCTATTCGATGTGGAAAAAAAAATTCTTTAAAAACAAATCCAACTCGTCAAATAAGAAATATTTCCAAGGAAAGCATAAACGCAAGTTTCAATTTATCGAAAATCCTAAAAAAATATATGTATAAATTTAATATTTATTTTATAAGATTGTATCAAGAAAATAAAGTAAAACTTAATTTAAAAAAATAAATAAAAATTTTAAGATTTAAAATAAAGTTTTATAATATTGATGAGAATATTAATTTTTTGAAAGTATGTATATTAGGTTTATGTATATTAGATATAAAAAAAAACATTTTTTTTAAAAGAAAGCATAAAAGTGTCTCCAAATTACAACTTTGGACACAAAAATAAAATCACCATATCATATTTATATATATACTTAAAATAATAAATAATATTAGAATAAAAAACTAAAAATTATGGTACCATCGGGGTATTGTTTTTAAACTTATTTGAGAGGAATTGATTTCAAAATTTTCATTAAAAAAAAGTAAATATTAAATGTTTTTTATGCATATGCACAATCAACTTGTAATTAAAAAAATAAGCAATTTTTTTTTTAAAGAACACATAAAAGTGTCTTCGGACTACAACTTTGGACCTAAAAATAAAATCATCATATCATATTTATAAAATTATTTAGTTTTTATACCTAATACAATTCTTTTTAATGCACTCTTTTTATGTAGGTTAGGATATTTATATGAAAGCAATTAGCTAAAAATAATGATAAAGGAATTCTTTGAATTGAAAGTAAATTATAAATTGGTCTCTCTTGCTTCAAAAAATTAATTAATTAGTCTTTTTAATTTCAAAAACTAATTATTTAATTTTTTTAATCGATCTTGACCACAACAATTTTTCTTAATTGTAAAAAAACTTTTTTGCTCATCAATCTTTTTATATTTTCACTTATTTTTTATTCATTTTTTATATGTTAAATTAAAAAATTAAAATAAATTGAAAAATAGCAAATAAAACTAAATAATCAGTTTTTTAAATCATAGAAACTAATTAATTTGTTTGAGGAAACAACAAGAACTAATTTATAATTTATTCTTGAATTGCAATTGATCCTCTATAAATGAATGACATAAGCATTAAATGCTATGTCTAAAGTAAAGGATTTGACAAAGGAAATGACTAGGAAAAAAAAAGCTAAAGAAGAAAAGTAAAAATAAATCAGTCAACGAAAAATATAAAATTTCAAAAATCCGCTAAGTGGCATGAAAAAAATTAAGAGTAAAATAGAAAGGCCTTTGTATGTAAAGCACAAAATAATAATAATAATAATAATAATAATAATAGCAAGCAAAACCCAAAAATTGGATTAATGGTAGGGAAAAAAAATCATGATGCAAATAGTTAAAAAAGAGTGTGTGAACAGTATATGAACATGGAATATCCCATGTCTTTTAGTTTCTTGTGTAATTCAGCTTGTAGGAGAAGGGAAAAATGGTAGAAAAATAAAAAAAAATTAAGACAAATTTTTGCCAACAAAATTCCCCAAATTACAAACCAATTCAACCAAGACCTTAAACACATCCTTAAATCACTCAATCAAGCTTGGAATCATAATTGGGGAATCAAAAATAGTGAGAGGAAAAGTTTAAGGAGGAGGCCAAAACTTGGAGAAAGAAAAGGGAGAAAAGTCTTGCAAAAATTCAACTTGAAAAGAATTAAATTGAAGCATTTGAGGTAAGTTAGTCTCACTATATCAAAAGAATTTGAGTTTTGATCATGAATTGAATTATTTTAGTGGAAAAATTATGTATATTATGTGTGATGAGGTTGATGGAAGCTTTTGTATATGGATATGTGATTTTGGATTGGATTGAATATTGATGAAGCGAATTGATGATGTTGTGTATTTAATGATGCATGAATTGTTAGGTTTGCATAATTAATTCAAGTTTAATTGAATCAATTGAACTAATTAGGGTTAGGGTTCTTGAAACATGTGAATTACGGAAAATGATTTATGTGTGTGAAATTGATGATGGAATAAACGAATTGAGCATGTAAACAAGTGGCAAAATGAAAAACTACCTAGCCAAATTCAAGAGGAAACTTTTGGCCAAGTTAGGGAATTTTAAGATTTGTGGTGTATTTGATTTATTAATATTTAATTGATAGAATACATGTTATTGAAGTATAATTAGACGATTTAACATGTGAAATAGCATTTAAATTGAAAAGTTCATCTACCTTGAGCTAGGAGCACAATTGACCCAAATAGGAAAATTAGGATTAGAAGTTTGATTCATATGTTATTAATGTTGGATGGTTTAAATGATGACGTTAGAATAATTAAATGGGTTAGTATATGAATTTAGTGATTAGAAAGAAAAATTCACCTAACTTCGGTGAAGTAAAGGTTTTGGCCATATATGAGGTTTTAGAAGAAAAAATTAGTTAAACATACTATTGACTAAATTAGTGACTTTATGATTAATTATGTGTATTACATGTGTTTATGGCATGCCATTATGTATCTATTTCATGATTGTCTATGTTTATGGAAAATGTGAAATGAGTGAATTAAATAGGTGCAATATCTTATTGATTGAATGATGTTGCCAATGTGATGTTGTGTGGTACACTCGTGTTAAATATTTAATTGATCTGGATTGTGTATCTTAAATGGAATGTGATGGATCGAATATAAAAGGTAATGGATTCCTATGTGCATTTTTATTATGTTGAGGTATGTAATTTCATTGCATAAATGTACATTGTGTTTATGACTTGCATCATGTTCATTCATGAGGTTATGCATTTACATTTAAATACATATGCATGTCAAAATTATGAAAAGATTTTTCTTCATGATTTTTTTAAAGGAAAAGGAAAAGGTTTTTGGGGGTTTATCCCTTTTTTTTTTTTTTTTTTTGTCGGAGGAATTGGTAAAGGCTTTAATAGAATAATTTCTTTATTGGGGGGATTGATAAAAACCTCAACGGAAGAAAATGGTAAAGAAAAAAGATTATCGGTGGTTTAATTATCTATGATATTTCTTCGTCGGGGGAATTGCCTCGACAAAAGAAATGATAAAGGAAAAGAGGATCAAATCTATACACTCGTGTGTATAACATACGTTTTGCTAGACGCGTCCGTGAAAGGAAAAGATTTGAAAAGGGCATGAAAAGGATTTTAAAGGATTTCAAAAAGGACATGAAAAATATTTTAAAGTGCATTTAATTGCATATATGCATAATATGCATGACTAACTTACCGAGCAATAACTCACCTAGTTCTTATGTTGAAGAATAAAAAGTAATTGCTATGTTCTCACTAGAGTTTGTTATTAAAGGAACTTTCTCGTCTTTTCGTCTAGTGTATCTTACATGTGGTTGCAAGTTAGACCTACTTGATGTAATTGTGCTGTTAGTTCTCAACATTTTCATATATATATATATATTGGGTATGAGTACTTTGTTTTACATGATAGTAAAAGTATTGAATAACTAAACAAGTTTAGGTGGTTAGCTAATAAAGGAAAAGTAGGCTTGTAAATATGTAAAACAACTATTGGTAAATAGTATGGTACTAAGCTAGTTATCATGTAAAAAGAAAAGTTGGTCGTAGACATGTCAACCATTTTTGGTATTGCTAATTATGTAATAAAATAATAGTTTGTAGTTGTATTTTCTATTAGTTTAATACTTGCATGTTACTTGTCGATGGTAATACGGATAGTCAAATAGACATGAAAATAATTAAGAAAGAATAGGAATAATCGACTTAATAATCTTCATAAAAGATGATAATTAATGAAGAAAAAGTTGAAACTATTAACTATTTAATAGGCTTTTGTAGTGAGAACCATAATTAATAATACAATAAAAAGGACAAAGAGTCTTGTGTCTTACATCCACTGTAAGGTACGATCGTAATATCCTTATTCTATTTAGATTCTAGATGAGGGTGTTATACATGTTAAGTTGGTTTGGCTTAGTTAATTAATTAATGGTTAAGAGTCAAATGTGATATGATCTCTCTCTTTTACGTATTAGGGTTATTTTGATCATATTGTTTGTGATAAAATATACTTAATTTTTATTTAATATAGACATTCATCTGTCTTTGATACTGATTGGCTTCAGCTCTAAAATTCTGTTCATGACAATCCCAGGATTTCATCCGGTGCCTTCTGGGACCGACGCCTCATGATTGGATCTATTTAAACTTCATCGTTTTATTTATACTGATTCATTTCATAATTGAACTGTCCTTTTCTATCATTTCTTCACCTTATTCTTGGTTTTGTTTTTTTCTTGCACGATCTTACCTTAACTTATTTAAAAATTTAATCATTTTCTGCGTAAAGTGTGATGTTACATTTTTTTTCTATTAAAAAAGGAAAACATGAAATCACCAAAAGAAAATACAAAAAAGATATGTTTGTTAAAAAGAAAACACAACAACCGCAACATCAATCGACTACCTCATTGGTCGGGATCAATGATAATGATTTTAGTGTTACCATTCATCCCAAATGCATATGACCTTCTTAAATCAGATTTGAAATAAATATAAAATGTGTGAAAATTAATCCGAAAACATTAAATTTAAAAATAAAAAACATTTATGCAGAATTTTGGGTGTTTAATAGAAGAAGCCCAAAAAATACTTCCCTTGTAAAACACTCCATTTCTCTCAACAAATCCACACCTGTTTCTGATAGTTAACATCTCACCCAATCCAATCTCTCTCTCTCTCTCTCTCAACAACTCACACCAAAACCTCGAAAAAACGAAAATCGAAATCAGTGGCTCCTTTTCTTGATCCATCATCCATCCATGTACTACAAAATCTCACATTTTCAATTCCCAATTCCACTTTCCTCATTTCTCTTCTTCTTCTGATTATTAATAATAATACTACTACTACTAATAATAATGCTAGAGACTATTGCATCACCACTCACCAGTCGTTTCAATTACCAAAGAATTGAACTGAAACGCTGCCTTCCTGCTTTTTTATCTTCTCACAAAACTCTCTTTACTCTCCTCTGGATCGCCGCCTTCGCCTCCGTCTTTCTATGGCAACGCAATGCCGTTGGCGGTGGATTTTCCGCTTTCTGGCGAGGACCCCTCCGCCCCATGCCCAAAATGCGTCCTGTTGCTTTCAATTTGACGGATTTTGGTGCCGTCGGTGATGGTGTTACTGTAAATACCGAGGCTTTTGAGAGGGCAATTTCAGCAATTTCTAAATTGGGCAGAAGAGGTGGTGGCCAACTTAATGTGCCTCCAGGAAGGTGGTTAACGGCACCTTTCAATTTGACTAGTCATATGACTCTCTTTCTTGCTGAGGATGCTGTTATACTTGGAATCCAGGTTAATCACTAACTCTTTAATCAATATTAACTTTAATCTCACATTAGTCATAATTAATGGTTATATATATATATTTGGAAATTTTTATTTGTTTCGTTGATAAAAAAGGTTTGGGTTTCTAGCTAATTAGGTAAGGGATGATTTTATTTATTTTTTATGAGAACTAGTTATTTAGATTTGAAGAGAGATATGTAACAAGCTTAACCGTTTGTTAAGTTCTCTGCATTGTGGGAGTTGAGTATTTAAGCTATTAATTATTATTTTTTCCGCTTCCCCTGTAGGATTCATAAGTAGAAGTAGGTGAGCAGTGCATGAGTATACACTCGAGTGTAATGAGTAGATTTTCTAGTCGAATGTAGATTTTCTAGTTGAATGTGGTTTACATTGGGATACAATTGTTTCAAGAGTTTTTTAATTATAATCTGTGATTATCAGTCCTTGGACGGAGTATTTCAATTTCTAGTTTAAATGGAATTTATGTAGAGGGACTGTGGATTACATTGAGTTGTTTAAGTTGTATACTTGGAGGGAGTTTTTCAATATATGGTTATGTGTCCAAACAAATAAAGGTTATCTACTTGATTATGGAATATACATAAGTGAAAGAGTCATGATGCACTTGAACTTGTAATAGGGTCAAAGAAACAATTACAACTTACCTTGTAACTGTGTCACACTTATTGCGACTAGTATAAAAATGGGTTCGTGTTGTAGAAAAGATCTGAAATTGAATCTCCTTTACTCTACTGATGATGGATTGAGGGAGGGGCCTGCTGTCTAAAACAACTGTTTGGAGACGAACAAAGCCAGTTAGAGTGAGAGTAGATTTTACAAGTTTTATAACTATTATTATGACAATGCAAAGACACATCCCCAAGTTAATTATTGAAGTTTATCGTCCTTGGGAACCCAATAGGTTGCAAATATGAATATTAAATTTATCATTCAGTTCCACTATGAACAAGTACTGTGAAGTTATCGGCCATATAAGCTACTGTCAGATGGTTTGCATTGCTAACATGGCAGCTTGCCAATAGTTGGTCTCCCAAATAGTTGAAAACTTAGGCAACCCGTCATAGTTTTTAACATAAGTTGCTTATTTAACTAGGTTTCAGTGATTCAATTTTTTAACTTTCGATCATTTAATTTATTTTTAGTGATTTAAAGTTCTTGCTCACTTTAGATATGTCCCCTTGTGTGATATTCAACAGGATGAGAAGTATTGGCCTTTAATGCCTCCATTGCCTTCATATGGGTATGGGAGAGAGCATCCTGGACCTCGATATGGAAGTTTAATCCATGGTCAGAACCTCAGAGATGTTGTTATAACAGGTTAGCTGATTCAACTTCCTTGAAAAGTGTGCTTGGATCTCAACGGTAGCTTTTAACTTTGGATGTGGTAACAAGTTGTGGGCACATCTTGAAGATCACTTGTGCCATTAAGATCAGCCATGTGTGAATAGAAAGAGTGATCTTCAAGATGGGGCTACAAATGTTATAGAAAAAACACAGGAAGCAGTTTAAATAAAAGTGAGGAGTACAAATTGTATGAACAACCAGAAGGGTAAAACATTAATTGTTGTGGAACTGACTATTGACCAATGGTAGTGTTTAATCACGAAGACTGCACATATGGAATTGAAGTGAATTTCTCTTGGCCATTTAGGGTCACATATTTGAAAGTAGATGATGTGTGGTATGACCATTTCCTGCATCTTCTGTCATCGTCATGCAATGCCATTGATTATGCTACTTTTGTTTAGATCTTCCACCCAGAACTTCTTGTACAAAAGAATAGTGGGTCTTTCTGTTTCCTTACTGCAGCATTTTGCTATGTAGAATTCTCGGGCACTTTAAGCAACAAGATTATTTGGAAAGGACAATCCTTTGGATGTTAGATAAATTCGAAAACATTTATTTCATGCATATGCTTGATGCCTTAACAATACCTCTGTGAAGTAAGGTGTAGTAAATAAGGATCTTCAACTTGCTTCCTTTCTAACTCAGCTTAATCACATGGGCAGTCAATGAAATTGATTAATTCTTACTATTTAATCATTTTTGTCATATCTTGAATGAGATGCAACATACAAAGCCCCAAATCTAATTGATGGCACCGCTTTAGGGAAAGTTGATATGGTTGTTTGTTAGCAACAGTTATGTTGATATCATTAGTTCTAGTTTGAACTCTTTATAAGTGGATCCAGAAGGTAGTTGAGTCTAGCTTTGGTTGTTATCATGGTGAATATTGAGTTCATCTACATTTCGTATTTGCAAATGTTTTTGTCCTCAACTCGGAATGGTCCTCATTTAAGATTTTCTGCTGATCAACAGGACACAATGGTACCATAGATGGACAGGGTCAAACATGGTGGAAGAAGTATCGCCAAAAGCTTCTCAACCACACTAGGGGGCCACTTGTGCAGATAATGTGGTCAAGTGACATTGTGTTTATGAACATAACTCTGCGAGATTCCCCATTTTGGACACTTCATCCATACGACTGCAAGAATGTAACAATCAGGAATGTTACAATTCTGGCTCCCATATTTGAAGCCCCAAATACTGATGGAATTGATCCTGGTAAATATTTCTGACAATTGTAGTTTTCTGCCACTGAAATTTATTTTGCCCCAACTGACCTTACCTTTGATATCAACTTAACCTCTAGAAGTGATCAGCCTACTTGCTGATCTGAGCCACTAATATTTTGCACCTTGGATGAGATGCTCGGCTGAGTTTTAATTAGTCGACATCAATGATAAAAAAGGGCTAAACTTAAGTTGAGATAAAGGTTAGGAAACAGTTTTAGTGGTAAGGTCAGATGTCGGAAAAATGGTTCATCGATGAGGGTTTTTTTCTCTTTTGTGTGTGTGTTTTCCTACTCACTGATGAGCTGGTCTGGGATGATAATCAATAATGCATTTCAGATATCTAAGTAACAGTGAGACTGATTGCAAGGAGCAAAATTTGTTCAGCTTTGATGCTAAACTTTGGATCTTGTATCATTCTACCTTTTCCGTTTTAATTCTCTCGGACTGACTTCATTCTTTTGTGTAAGTGAGCTGGAGTCCTATTGACCATTGTACTAGTTAATTTTTTTTTTCATTATCCTTCCTTTTTGACGCAGGACCATGATATAATCCTGCAAGGTAGTAACTAGCAATACTCTTATCTTACATTGGCTGGCTAAATTCCAAACCCCTTGACATCACATAGGATGTACTATCATAACATTTTCAGCAAGGTTTTTTTGTTAAACTGAAATGCGTTTATGTGTTTTTGAAGTTCGTAAGTAATATGTTCTTGCCATAGTGAATAAGGTGAACTTCAATTTTTTTGGCATAAATAGATTCGTGTGAGGATATGGTAATTGAAGACTGTTACATAAGTGTGGGGGATGATGCGGTTGCAATAAAGAGCGGCTGGGATCAGTATGGAATTGCATATGGACGACCTTCAACGAATATTCTCATCCGTAATCTTGTAGTTCGCTCTATGGTCAGGTAAAATGTTACATATTTTCTTTCCACTATGGTTCATATTTGTTGCATCCTTATATGTCTTACAAACCTTCATGCCCAAGCATTATTCAATCTTCCATGTCTTTTTCTAGGCATCTATCCTTGCAGGATCGAAAGCTTTGAATGTGTGCATGAATGCATGGGGCCAATTTTGTTGAGGATATTCATTTCCTTTTTATAATTTCACCCATTTGATTAGAATTTTATGGAGGAAATGTGTGCAAGTGGAGGCTCATAATGTATGCTAAACTGTCTTATTTTATTTATTACATGTAAATCTATTTACTTTTCTTCAGAACTTTACCACATAGGTACTTAAGGTTCTATTAGTACTTTTTTTCTGCAAGTCTATCACAAGGGAACCATGAACCTTTTTTTTCCCCTAAGTAGGAGGGTAACAGTGGTAATTCCTTAATGCAAATTGCCTGTCTGGTAATATTTATGAACTGTTGTGTGGCTTATGCCATGTTAGAATTTCACTTTAGAAAGCAGGGTAGCAAACCTCAATCGTGGTTGCTTGGCAATATGCTGTATGATCAATTTTGGAACCTCGACTGATTGGTGTATTTAGGCTTTACCAAACAATTGCTTATATCATATTTATCACATTGTACCCGTCTCTGCTCCATTTAGATGACTTGCCTTGTCATACAAAATGCATGTATTTTTTTTAAATGGCAAACTGAGATCCAACCCTGGCTGAATTTGTAACAGTGCCGGCATATCAATTGGCAGTGAGATGTCAGGTGGGGTATCAAATGTCACTGTCGAGAACCTCCTTGTGTGGAGCTCAAGGCGTGCAGTTCGGATCAAGACCGCCCCTGGAAGAGGTGGATATGTTCGCCATATAACATACAGGAACCTGACATTTGACAATGTACGAGTTGGAATTGTTATTAAGACTGATTACAATGAACACCCAGATGAAGGTTATGATCCAAAGGCTGTTCCAATACTTGGGGACATAAGCTTCACTGGAATCCATGGTCAAGGAGTTCGTGTACCTGTTCGCATACATGGGAGCGAAGAAATTCCAGTTAGGAATGTGACTTTCCAGGATATGTCAGTGGGGTTAACTTACAAGAAGAAGCACATATTCCAGTGTGCCTTTGTACAAGGTCGTGTAATAGGGACCATCTTCCCTGCCCCATGTGAAAACCTTGACCGGTATGATGAGCAAGGAAAGCTGGTTAAGCACTCTGTCTCACAAAACTTGACAGACATAGATTATGATTTTTGACTTGACAACATGTCTCAATCACCAGTGCTACCTTTCTGAAGGCCAATACATTGTACGACTGTATCAGACAAGCCCAACAGACCACGGTGGAGCAGTTCAACTTGTTCTTGTGGTGTTTTAACGCCACCATGTTTGCTCCAATTTTATAGCTTCATTCCCTTGTATATACAGAAATTTATTAGTGGTCTATACATTTGTGAGGTTCCGGAATTTTCACACTGCAAAACTCTTACATGGTTGTGCCAGAAGCTAGCAAGCTGTTATCTTACTCTTGGAATTACTGTGAGAGAAGAACATCATAGTTCTTTTGGCTTTCCCTTTCCTTTTGTCACGGGGCTTTGAGTTATGAAGAAAACCACACCCCCACCACCACCCCCACCCCCCCCCCCCCCCCCCTTGCCCCTCTTTTTTTTTTTTTTTTTTTCCCCGAAGAAAAAGATGTTATGCAGCCATCTTTTGTAGTTACATTTGCTACTTTGAATGAACAGAAAGCTATTTTGATATTTTGAGGTTGTTAGAAAGAACATGCAAACGGGTGGATAATGGTATTTCCCGAAAGTAGTAGAAGGAATGAAATAAACAAGGGTTATTTGTGCAAGACAAACGGAATCCGAGTCTTGGTCTTGCAGAACGGTGATGAGTAGTTGATTGTGGTACTCGGCCTTGTTCAAGGGCTTCAATCCTTTTATTTGCTGGTAGTTTGACGAAATTTGTTAAGATTCCAGAGCCGGGGATCTACTTTAGGAGCTTTTCACGAGTTATTATAAGGTACAGTAATCAAATGTGTAATCTCTGCCTTGGTAATTAAGGAACCTCATAATTCCCAAATGTCTGATTTCTGCCTTGTTGATCAGGGAACTCCTAATTCCTAAATGCTTTAAGTGAATAAAACACAGTTTGGTACATGAGGGGAACTTTTGAGGATGTTCCAACTTTTGATAACAAAAGGGTATCATTTCATCACAAAAATGATACCAGACACTATATGGCAGGGGCACGTTTTCTTTGCAAGGATTATTTCCATTTTGATTTGAAAACAGACAAGTTTTTTATATAATATATTCTGCCTTACCTCTATTGTCCCCTGTACAATAGGAGCTGTACAATATATAGGATGATATATTCCTAAATATAGAAAATACAATCCTAGGAAATACACAGTTCTAGGAAATCAGAAATTGTAGGAATAATAGACTGATTCTAAGAATAAAACTGAAATAGAAAGTTGACTAGTTAAATTTGACTCAAATCCCTTTTTTGACAAAGCTTTAGTGAGAACATTTGCTTATTGTAGCTTAGTAGGTATGTAGTGTAACCTAGTTGAACCACTCTCAATCTCTCGATTTGATGAAATTTTTATCAATCCTTACATGCTTCATTCTGCCATGTTGAATGAGATTGTGAAAAATACCAATAGCGAGACTTGCTATCACTATATAATTGCATTGACCTTTGTAAAGGAATCCCCAGTTCCTTTAGCAACCTTTCTATCCAAATCAACTCACAAATCCCTTGGGCAATTGCTCCGTATTCGGCTTTTACACTACCTACTACAATTTGTTTTTTACTTCTCTTGGTCACCACATTTCGCCATAGTTTAATATAATACTCGATAGTAGATTTGGTGTCATCTCGAACCAACCCAATCCGAATCCGCAAATTCTTCAACATCTCTTTTTTCATTCTTCCAAAATAGTAGTCCTTTTCTTGATGTACCTTTCGAATATTGTAGAATTTTAGTTACCGCTTTAAGATGTCTTTTTATAGGAGAGTGCATAAATTGGCTCACAATACTCACATTATACACAATGTTTAGCCTTGTGAGTGACAAGTATATCAACTTACCTATTAAGTGTTGACACCTTTTTCGATTTATTGATGGATCACTTTCATTTATCTTATGTTTCCACTTTCATTCTAGAGGAGTCCTCGTAGGTTTACATCTAAGTTTCTCAATTTCCTTTAGAAGATCATGAGTATACTTCCTTTGAGAGATGAAGATACCTTGTTTACTCCTAGTAATTTCCGTTCCAAGGAAGTACTCGTAGTTTCCTCGAGTCCTTAACTTTGAACTCGCTTGTAATCATCCCTTAAGGTTGTCAATCTCTTGAATATCATCTTCGATAATCACCATATCATTAATGTATACTATTAGAATCGATTTTCTTCCATCATCTCGCCTACTTCACAAATAAAGTATGATTATCTTGTCCTTACTTATAGCCAAATTATCTCATAGTAGCACTAAATCGAGTGAACCAAGCTCGAAGAGATTGTTTCGGACCATGAGAGCACTACAAAACAAACGGAGTTTAGCGACGAATATTCCATCGCTAAACGTCTCGATTCCGTCGCTATTTCGCTTGTCGTTAATTTCTTGTGATGGAGTACTCGGTCCATCGCAACATTTAGCAACAAAACACCCATCGCTAAACCAAAAAATCTGTCACTAATCTTGTTGCCGGATCGGTCATTTTGCTCGTAGCTAATCCGTCGTTAATTTTGAAAATAAATCCATCGCTATTCCGTCACTAATTTTGAAAATCAATCCGTCGCTATTTCAAAAAACTAAATTATCACCAATACATCGCTATTCTATCGCTATATTTTCAAAACAAATAAATATTTTTTTCATTTTATTTTGGTTTTTTTAAAATTATTAATATTGCTTTTAATATTTAATAATTAATATTGGATGTAATAGTTAACAATTAAAAGTAATAACGTATAAATTGAAAATGAATTAATTTTAACAATAACATTCGGTAGTACATTCGATAAAATAAAACAAAGTCACTAAATGTTTGTTTTATCACTCATCCTCACTTATCCTGCTTGTTTAATCTCATATCCTCATTCCGATACTATGTGGAGGGCTCGACGAGAGGATCGAGTGGAGGTTGAACGGGAGGTCATGTCTGGAAGGAATGGTAGATTGTCGACTAGTCCACGGATCTATAGGCAACCAATAAATTAAAATTTTCTTAAAAAATAATCCAAAAAATTTAACTAAAGTACGTACAAAATTATATAATTTAAAAATTAACTTAAATTAAAAAATAAAAAAATTCACTTAATAATTAACACAATTAATTAATTAATTAATTTAAAATGACAATCAAAGATTAAATAATTAAATTTTAATCTACAAATTAGAAATAAATAAATTAACAATAAATCAACCTTAACTAAATTACTTAAACAATTACATTAATAAAATTAAACCTAAAAAAATTAACATAATTAAAAATTTTTAGGTTAAAATCAACATAAAAATTAACCTAAAAATTAACACAATTAAAAAATAACACTTAAAAAAATTAATCTAAAAATTAAGAAAATTAAATAAACAATTAACAAATTTACACTAATAATTAACAAATAAATTAACACAATTAAAAATTAACATAATAATAAAATTAACAACATTCAAACAATTAATCAACTAACAAATAACAAAATTAACCTAAACGTTTATAAAATTATTTAATTTAAAAAAAAACAAAAGAGTTAGAGAGAGAGTTTTACTAAAGAGATCATGGAGAGAGAGTGGAGATTTTGTTGGATTTTGAGAGAGAAAGATGCACCTTATTGAGTTGAATGGTTTGGGAAGTCACTTGGTGGTGAGGAGCGACGTGGGTGGTGGTTTTCCGGCCGATAGTGGATTTTTGGGTGGAGGAGAGAGGGGATCGAATGGAGAAGAAGAAGAGAAATGGTGTGTTTATAGGCTCGGAGATTAGCGACGTACATGATTACGTCACTAATCCTTTGCTCATTAGTGATGGAATCATCGATCCACTACTAATTAGCAACGGAATCACAAATCCATCACTAATTTGAACCACGTGGGTGGAAAAATTTTCATCCAAAATTTCAAAATAGCGATGAATTTGCCAATTCGTCACTAATTAGCGATTGAATCGCAAATCCATCGCTAATTTGAACCGTATGGGTGGAAAAATTTTCACTAAAAATTATGTCGCTAATTAATGATGGATTTCAATCCGTCGCTATTTTGAATGTAAAATTAGCGATGGATTTCATAATTCGTTGTTAATTGGTGATTTTAGGGAAAAATTCCACGAAATCGTAAAAAATAGCGACGGATTTTCAAATCCGTTGCTATTTTTGGTTTCAAATTAGTGATGGATTACTATTGAACCCCGAAAGGTACCCATTATCTTTTATTTAGCGACGGAATCACAAATTCGTTGCTAATTTGAACCGTGTAAGTGGAAAATTTTCACCCAAAATTTTAAAATAGCAATGGATTTCAATCCGTCACTATTTTGAATGTAAAATTAGAGACGAATTTCACAATCTATCTCTAATTGGTGATTTTGGTGAAAAAAGTTTCTCCTTAAAATCCCAAAGTTAGTGACGGATGCCTAGTCCGTCGCTACCTAGTGATGGACTCGGCATCCGTCGCTAATTTGGAGGAAAATTTCCCCTCAAAATCTAAAACGTTAGCGATGGACGTCGAGTCCGTCATTAACTTTGGCGGGGAAATTTCCTCCTAAAATCCCAAAGTTAGTGATGGATTCCATGATTCGTTGCTAACTTCACTAAATTACGTGAATTTTAGCGACGAAAAAAATTTCGTCGCTAATTTTTTCATTTAATGACCACATGGACGTCGTTAATCCATCGCTGATTTTGGTGCTTTTTTTTCCGCCTTATTTAGCAATGGATTTTTAACCATCGCAAAGTATCCCTTGTTAATCCATCGTTAATCCATCACAAAACACAACCTTTTATAATTCGTCACTAATGTATCGCTAAATAGCGATGAATTTTAATCGTTGCTAAATGTCGTTGCTAATTGGTATTTTTCCGGTAATGAGGGATTTCTTTAACTTGCATATAGTATCGGGTTTCCTATCTCCTTTAAATCCAAGTGACAATTTCATGTACACTTCTTCCTCTAGACTACCATTCGGAAAGGCATTTTTGATCCATATGGTGCAATTCCCAATCTAGATTGGTTATGAGAGATAACG